TCTTTTGGGAATCAATAAAAGAACAGGATGGGCTGTTCAAGTGGATGATATATTAGAACTCATATCCTCTGTGGCCACTATTCTCCGTCTCTGGGATGACTTTGGAAGTGCCAAGGTAATTACATACTAAAATTTTATATTATTAACTCCATAATACTCTTCCCCTCTTTGACAATTTAACCTTTTGGGCAAGACCATCATCTAGAATTTTAAACATTATGATTGATACTTCAATGTTAATTAATTTCAAATTCATTGTTAATTTGTTTTGTATCAAACTAATGACAGGATGAGCAGCAAGATGGAAACGATGGTTCGTACATAGAGTGCTACGTGAAAGAGAATCCAGGATCAACAGTCGAGATTGCACGAGAGCGTGTTATTGATATTATATCAAGTGAATGGAAGCGTCTTAACAAGCAGTGTTTGAGTTTAAATCAAAACTCAGCAAGTTCATCCTTTACAAAAGCTTCTCTTAATATTGCAAGAATGGTTCCTCTAATGTACAGTTACGATGACGACCAACAGCTCCCAGTCCTTGAAGAGTTTATCAACTCCACACTCTTTGATGATACTTTCTTGGTGCACCGTCCTTAAAGAATAGCGCAAATGATGAATAATGCTACAATTTGTCAACCTAGTGTCTGGCTTCTTGTCTCTATTAAGAAATTATTGTCTGTGGAGAATATACGGTGAAATATAGCAAGGGCTAGAATTAATGACTCGATGTAGTCACATCAGTATATTTGTTGCACCATTTATTATTTGAAATAAAAATAGAAAAAGATAGTACATTATTTGTCTGGTTAATAATATTTGTTACACCATATATTTTTTTAACATAAAAAATAGAAAAGATAGTGCACTCTTTGTCTGGTCAATAGAAACGAGTGATTCTAATTGGTATTTTGTTCATTAGTCCACGAACAGATAGTTTATGTTAAACTTTATATGACAAAACAATTAAAAAGAATAATTACAAGGATATATTCACATACAGAAGGATTACTTGTGAGCGAAGTTTACAGCTTTTAGAGATCTAAAATCCAAACACATCGGTAAAACAAGAAAATTGCCCAATGATTCTTAATCTTTTGAAAGCCGCAACACCACTATTAAAGGAATAAAAATTATTCCATCATTTAATACTAATCACTAAAATATTTAAATCTAGCCTCCGTTAATTTATATAAAAGAATTTTAAAATGTTCACTGATTATTGAAATATGAAATGGCATTGAAGGAGGAGCTTCCTGATTATCAGCAAGAAGGATACGAAGTGTTAAAGAATTATGGAA